GGGGGAGACCTAGGGGTCACAAGACCAGTCAAGGCAAAGCAAGGCAACAACAAGCTCAGGGTGGATCTCGAGGATTCCACACAAATTCCGAGCACAAGCTAGTGGTCACAAGACCAGTTCACATGCAGGTTTATAACAGAGCCAGAGATACAGTGATCACAACCTAGCAAGAGTAAACATGCAGGTATAGATATATATAGTGATCACAGTACAAGCAAAGTCAAGAGGTAAGCAAGTGAGGTCCAGTAGGCACAAGGCCTAGTAGAGTGCAGAAGCGCTGATGGTCACGAGGCTGAAGCGCCTTGGTGAACACATCAGCAGTGTTGGCCTCAGTGGCCACGTAGCGAATACAAAGCTGACCGCGCTGCTGCAGCTCTCGAGCAAGGAAGTACCGCAGGGCGATGTGCTTCGTTCTGTGCTCCAATCTGTGCTCCTCACACAAGGCAATGGCAGCCTTGTTGTCGACGTACAGTACTGGAGGAGAACGAGGCGGCTCTCCGAGGTCAGTCAGCAGGTAGGTCAGCCAGCGCAGCTCCTGGGCAGCCATGGCTGTAGCGTAGATCTCAGCCTCGCAACTGGAGCCGAGAACAGAAGAAGAGCGTGTAGAGCGCCAAGAAACTGAGCCAGAGCCAAGGCTGAAGGTGTAACCCTGAGACGACCGCTGAGTGGCCTGGTCGTCTGCCCAAGAAGCGTCTGAGTGCCCTGTGAGCACAACTCGGTCTCGCCCTCCAAGCACAAGCCCCATGCCCGACGTACTGCACAAGTAGCGCAACACCCTCTTAGCGGCATCCATGTGCTCCTTCCTGTGATGGCCAGGAGCGACATAGCGTGCAAGGATGCTAAGAGGGTATGCAAGGTCAGGTCGAGTGCAGGTCATCAGGTACATGAGGCAGCCCACAAGCTCTGGATACGGGCCACTCGGCTCTACGGACTCATCCGAAGGCAGAGCTGAGAGCGAGTGACCGGTAGGCAGAGGAGTGGACTGAGGCGAGGAGTACGTGAAGCCAAAGCGCTGGAGAACCTGCTGCACCATGTGTGACTGAGTCAAGGTGATGGTGCGCCGTGCTCTGTCCCGGGTGATCCGCAAGCCAAGATAGCTTGTCAGCTCACCCAGGTCTGTGCACGTGTGTCTCCTCTGCAGCTCCGACTTCACGTAGGCGAGTCCTGCAGTGTCAGCAGTGGCAAAGACCAAGTCGTCGACGTACACGAGGATGTAGAACGGCGGCAGCGAAGTGTCGGTGCGCAGGAACAGCGACGGGTCAGCTGTAGAAGGCGCGAACCCAAGAGCCGCAAGTGTAGTCCTCAGTGTGTCGTGCCACTCACGCGGAGCCTGGCAGAGACCGTAGACCGGCCGCTGAAGCCTCCACTGGGTACCAGGAGGAAACGACCCAGTGAAGCCAGGAGGGCGGCGCAGCCAGATCTCCTCGTGCAGGCTGCCCTGCAAGAAAGCAGTGCTGAAGTTAAGTGAGTGAAGCTCGTAGTCGCGCTGAGCGGCTATGTGCAGCAGCACCCGAAGAGTGGTCATCTTCGGGGTGGGGAAGAAGGTCTGGAAGAAGTCAACTCCCTCTCGCTGACTGAAGCCTCGAGCCACGTAACGCGCCTTGAAGACAGGCGGAGAACCCGGCGGCCGCTTCACCCTGAAAATCCACATGCCACTGACGATGTTCGCCCCAGGAGGGGGAACCTCGTCGACGTAGGTGCGTGTGGACTTCCAGGAAGCCATCTCGGCGTCCATGGCCGTCTGCCACTGAGAGGAGTAGGGACCCGCCATCGCCTCAGCGTAAGTGCGTGGGGTCGGGATGTCTGGTGCATCCGGGTCTCCCTCAGGGGCAACTAGCAAGGACACGAGACGGGGCAAAGCAGCAGCAAGACACTGGAACTCCTCCTGTCTGTCCTCAAGGACGTCCGTGCCAAGAGCACACTCACCCCCGACGGACGGAGGACAGACAGACTCAGACTCAAACTCAGCAACAAGGCTAGCAGCGTAGTCTAGACGACAGGCAGCAGCAAAGTCAACCAACTCAGCGACCAGAGCAGACGCAGCAGAGGACTCAAAGGTAGGGTCAGTGACAACAGTAGCAAGGAGACGCGTGACAGTAGGGTGCTCAGCACGATACCGGTCAGACTCAGGGTCCGGAACGTCAGGCAAAGAGGACGCAGGAGGAGACGGGAGAGGGACACGCTGAGGAGCAGTAGAGGGACGCAGAGTCATGTAGTGAGTGCCTGGGACAGGAGGAGGACGCTCACGACGGACACGACTACCAGTGCGAGCAGGACGAACAGGCGACGCAGGACGAGACTCAGGCTCACGACGCTCTGTAAGACCTCCTGTGGGACCAGTGTAAGGAGAGGGAGCAGGGAGAGGCGAGGTAGGCGGTAACTGTGACTGCGACTGAACAGGCAGAGGACACTCTACGGAGGGAGGAGGACAAGGGGGAGGAGCCTGCCCAAGAACCTGCTGAAGGAGCGGTACGAAGTACGGTCGCGGTCGCGCAGCGTCTCCAGAAGCAGAGGAGACTCCAGCGGCCGGGTCCACAGCACCAGCAGCAGCTCCACCGGCCGGGTCCTCAGCACCAGTAGTAGCTCCAACTCCCGGGTCCTCAGAAGCAGCAGCAGCGCCACCGCTCGGGTCCTCAGGTCCAGCAGCAGCTCCACCGTCCGAGTCCTCAGTACCAGCAGCAGCGCCACCGCCCGGGTCCTCAGCTCCAGCAGCAGCTCCAACGTCCGAGTCCTCAGCACCAGCAGCAGCTCCACCAGGCGGGTCCGCAGCACCAGCAGCAGCCCCAACGTCCGGGTCCTCAGCACCAGCAGCAGCTCCACCGTCCGGGTCCTCAGCACCAGCAGTAGCTCCACCGTCCGGGTCCTCAGCACCAGCAGCAGCGCCACCCCCAGGGTCCGCAGCACCAGGAGCACCACTCCGAAGACTGCAGCGCCGTGTGTACCACTCGCGGATCTGCTGAATGGGGGGGAGCTCCCGGGGAGGAGGGGAAGTACCGGGACGAGCTCCAGCAGTACCTCTCCGGAGGCGGCAGTACTCGAGGTACCTCTCCTGCAGCTGCTGGGAGGAGAGGGCTCCTCCAGGTGTAGCACGCTCAGGCTCAGCACCCCCAGACGCAGCACCCCCAGACCCAGCACCCCCAGGCTCAGCACCTCCAGGCTCCGCACCTCCTGGCTCAGCACCCCCAGGCTCCGCACCCCCAGACTCAGCACTCCCAGGCTCAGCACCCCCAGACGCAGCACCCCCAGGCTCAGCACCCCCAGACGCAGCACCCCCAGGCTCAGCACCCCGAGCAGGACGAGAGTCAACAGCTACCTCGACAGGCTCACCCGGGTCTACCTGGGACACACCTGAGGGAGCGGCACCCTGAGGGGGGAGGGGGTCTGGTACCTCAGCACCTGGAGCGAGGAAGAGAGGCGGGGGGGGGAGCGGGGCAGTGCGGTAGGGGAAGAGGCGGTAGTAGGGGACGGACTCGTCAAAAGTGACGTCCTGAGAGGCCAGGACACGCCGCGAGGTGGGGTGGTAGAACTGCCAACCAGGGGCGTCCGGGACAAAGCCAAGGAAGACGCAGGGGACAGCGCGACGGGAGAGCTTGTCCGCGGACGTGTCGCGGACAAAAGCTCGGGATCCCCAGACCCGAAAACGCGACGCATCGCCAGCCTCTCCCGTCCAACGCAGTGTCGGAGAAGTCTCGGGCAAAGAGACACGGGGCCAGAGGTTGAGCTGATGCGCAGCGTATCGGACTGCAAACGGCCACAGAAAATGGGGGGCAGCCGCATGGCTCAAGGAGGTACGAGCGACCTCCATGACCAGACCAATGCGGCGCTCAGCAACCCCATTCTGCTGTGGCGAGTCCGGAAGCGTGTACGACTGCGCAATGCCCTCCTGCTGACAGAAGGCCTCCAATAGGCCAGAGGAGAACTCCCCACCTCTGTCAGAGTGCAGACGCAGGACAGGGAAGTCGGAGCGGAAACGCTCACGGAGCTGGAGACGAGATCTGCGGATCCAAGGGATCAAGACATCAGGGACGTCACCCTTGGCGCGCAAGGGGAAGACCGTGGTGTAGCGCGAGAAGTCGTCAACAACAATCAGGAAGTACCTCTCCTGACCCTGACCACGGACGCGGGCTGGGCCCCACACGTCCATGTGGAGCGTCTGCAAGGGGGCAGTCGTCGGGGGAAAGGAGGAGGAGTGAGGAGCGGCGCGCTGCCGTCCCTCGACACAGGGAATACAGGGAGGAGCAGGCGAGTCGGGAAGGGGAGGGAGCACCCTGGGAAGACCAGCAACAAGGTCCCGCTGGTGCATGGCCCGAAGGCGCTGCACAGACGGGTGACCAAGGCGGTGGTGCCAGAGGACAGTCTCATGCGCCAGAGAGCGACACGAGCAGGGGGCGGACAGCTGACCTGACGCAGACGCAGACGCAGACGCAGCTACCTGAGGGGACTCAGTGGTCAGTGTGTACAGGTCCGACCCCGGCTCTCGAGTGAAAGTAGCCAGGTGGCGACCCGTCCGAGCACACGTGCAGTGTGTCACGCGCTCGTAGGCAGGGGTGAACTGGTGAACACCCCCGTCCTGGAGCGCACTACCTGCCACCAAGTTCGTAGAGAACGAGGGGAGGTAGAGACCTGATAGCGTGCCGGACGGGACCGCCGGACAAGGAAGGACAGTGGAGGAGGTCGCAATGACCGGACCCCCAGAGGGGTCAGCAAGGGAGACAGCAACTGGCCGAGCGAGGGGCTCAAGGACAGTGCGGTCACGAAAGAAAGAGCGAGAAGCACCTGAGTCCAGTGTGAAGGTGTGCAGTGCTGCAGTCGACTCAGTACCAGGGGGCACGGACGCACTAGCACCTAGGGCAGCAGCCTCACTGGGACCTGCGGGAGCGGACGCACTAGCACCTAGAGCGGCAGCCGGACTGGCCTGAATGCCCGGGTCGGGCGGAACACGCAAGTACTGAGCACCCTCTCCACTAATAGACATCGCATACATGGCAGTGAGAATAGCATCAAAGTCTAAAGCCCAAATATCAACACCCCTCTTTTCCAGATCAGCCCAGCGCGGCAGCTCAGTGGCAGCAGGAAACTGAGTGCGCCACGCGTCGGTAAGGCGCGCGAAGCAGCGCTGCGTGGGGTGCGGCCTCCCACACTGCTGGCCGCTGCGGTCACCTGTGCGAATGACGTACGTGCAGGTAACGCTACGCTGCGCATACCACTCACGGGCGGCCTGAAGCGTCGGGGCTGGCTGCTGACTCTGCCCTCCGCCAGTGCCCCCGTTCATGACCACCACCCCCTCCGCCTCCGCCCCGGCCACCTCCACCCCTGCCGCCACCACGACCACCTCCGCCTCCGCTGCCGCCTCCGCCCCTGCCACCACTCCCGCCGCTGCTGTCGCCTCCCCCACTACCGCCACTAGCCTCCTCAGCCGCGCCTCCACTCCCACCGCCTCCACCCCCACCTCCTCCGCCGCCACCCCCGCCCCTGCCCCCTTTGCCCCTGCGGCGCCCGCTCGAAGCAGACGCGGTCCCGACCTTCTCAGCACCAAGAAGGTCGACAGCAGCAGCAGAGGCGACAGAGGGGAGGAGGGGGGAAGGGGAACACCCCTCGAAGAACGGGGTGCGGGGGTCGCCACGAGAGGTGCCTACAGCGACGATGCTCGCCTCAGCTGCAAGCAGTTCCTTCTCGAGGAGGGAAACAGTGAGCTCAGTGGGGGAGCGAGAGAGGAAGTGGTCCCTGACTGCGCGCAGAGAGTCAGGGAGGCGGGTGACGATGTGGTAGAGAGTGATCCAGAGCGGGGGGGGGTTGCTAGTGAGAAACTCGGCAGGCATAGCAGCGCGAAAGCGGGCCTCACTAGTCTTAAGGTGGGTGATGAGGTCTGCGACAGTGTGAAAGGAGGCTAGGTCGGGGAACAGGTAGGGAAGAGTGAGGCGGCCTAGCGTAGCAGAAGCGGGTGAGGAGTAACGGGCAACTACAGCGGTGTAGAGGTCTCTAGCAGTCTTGCACTGGCCGAAGTGCTCGCGCTCATCTAACGGCAGGGAGTTGCGGATGGCAAAGCGAGCGTGGGCGTCACGAGTCTGCCACTGTGAGCGGGTAGTGCTGTCAGCATCAGTAGCAGGGGCAGGAGCATGGCCGAGGGCGTGGTCATACAGTGAGATATCCTCCTTGGCAGTGAGCTGTAGGAAGAGGTGCAGGTCATCAAGCCAAGTATCAAACTTCACTGGGCGGCCCTCAGCATCGAAAGCTAGTACAGGCGGGGTAGCCATAGAAGCAGTAGGAGTAAGTGAGTCCTAAACGCAGTGGGCAGCGCGACGCAGGTAGGGCGGCTCGGTCCAGAGAAGTTGCTCAGTGCGGGCGGCGCGGCTCGGTTCTGGCTGCTCGGCTCGGCTCGGACTGGGCGGCTCGGTTCGGGCGGCCTGTTGCTGGCGGGGCCGCGGCTGTCGCGTGCGGTGCGGGTAGGGGCGGCGGGTAGGGTCGACGGAGCCGCTTTGGGGCGGCGGATAGGGTCGACGGGGCCTCTAAGCGGGGCGCGCGCGGGGTCGACGGGTCAAGCGGGGCCGTAAGCGGGGCGCGCGCGGGTCGACGGGGCCAAACGGGGCCGTAAGCGGGGCGCGAGCAGGTCGACGGGGCCAAACGGGGCCTCTAAGCGGGGCGCGCGCGGGGTCGACGGGTCAAGCGGGGCCGTAAGCGGGGCGCGCGCGGGTCGACGGGGCCAAACGGGGCCGTAAGCGGGGCGCGCGTGGGTCTACGGGGCCAAACGGGGCCTCTAAGCGGGGTGCGGGCGGGTCGACGGGGCCAAACGGGGCCACTAAGCGGGCCGCGGGCGGGTCGACGGGGCCAAACGGGGCCTTAAGCGGGGCGCGCACGGGTCGACGGGGCCTCTAAGGCGCGACGCGCGAGTCACTAGGAGGCGGCGCGCGGGGTCGACGGGGCCTTAAGGGGCCGTAAACGAGGGCGCACGAGGGCGCTGAGGGGGAGGCGCTAACGCGACGCTCCGACAGTAGATAGGTAGGTAGGTAGGTAGTCAGTGGTGGGCCCTAAGAACGGTCCTAGCGAAGGACCTGCTCTGAAACCATGTCAACAAGAAGAGACTGGAATGATTGAACTAACAGAGAAATCAGTACAAATAGCAAACCCTAGAATTGTGTACCCCATATAGGCTAACCCACTGTAGCCTAACAAACCCAACATATATAATGTTTGACACTTTCCTGTCCTGCGTCTGCACTCTGACAGAGGTGGTGAGTTCTCCTCCGACCTCTTGGCAGCCTACTGTGCGGAGCGCGGCATCCGCCAGATGTTCACGCTTCCGGCCTCTCCGCAGCAGAATGGGGTTGCTGAGCGCCGCATTGGCTTAGTCATGGAGGTCGCTCGTACCTCCATGATCCATGCGGCTGCCCCCCATTTTGTGTGGCCGTTTGCGGTCCGGTACGCCGCGCATCAGCTCAACCTCTGGCCCCGTGTCTCCTTGCCCGAGACCTCGCCCACACTGCTGTGGACGGGGAAGGTTGGCGATGCGTCGCGTTTCCGGGTCTGGGGTGCTCGTGCCTTTGTCCGCGATACCACCGCGGACAAGCTCTCCGCCCGCGCTGTTCCATGTGTCTTCCTTGGCTTTGTCCTTGACGCGCCTGGTTGGCAGTTTTACCACCCCAGCTCGCGCCGTGTCTTTGCGTCTCAGGACGTCACGTTCGACGAGTCGGTTCCCTTTTACCGTCACTTCCCCTACCGCACTGCCTCGCTCCCCCCCCCCGCCGCTCTTCCTCGCTCCAGGTGCTCCCCAGGTAGACCCCTTCCCCGCTCCAGGTCCTGCTCCTTCAGGTGTTTCTCAGGTAGACCCTCCTCCCTTGACTGCGCCGGTTGAGGTCACTGGTGACTCAGGTCCTACTGAGGGTGGTCCTGCTCGGGGTGCTACTTCTGTGGGTGCTGAGCCTGGGGGTGCGGAGCCTGGGGGTGCTGAGCCTGGGGGTACTGAGCCTGAGGGTGCGGAGCTTGAGGGTGTGGAGCTTGGTGGTGCTGAGCCTGAGTGTGAGGGGTCTGGGGGTGCTGAGCTTGGCTGTACTGACGCTGGAGGTTCTGGAGCTACTGAGGGTGCTGGCGCTGGAGGTTCGGGAGCTGTTGGAGGGCCTAGTACTGGTGGCGCTGGAGCTGGAGGTTCTGGAGCTGCTGAGGGTGCTCGCGCTGGAGGTTCTGGAGCCGTTGGAGCTACTGGCGCTGTGGGTACTGACACCGGAGGTTCTGGAGCCGTTGGGGGTGCGGGCGCTGAGGGTTCTGAGTCTGCTGTTGCGCGGTCTCCTTGGAGTAGCCGCCTTCGTCCACGTGTGCCTCTCACCTCACAGCAGCTGCAAGACTGGTACGGTCGCGTCAGGGTCGCGCTGCTGGAGCCCGGGGCTCTGCTGCTGGAGTTACTTCTGCTGACGTCCCTGGAGCTAGGAGTGGTGCTGGTCCTTTGTCTACTGGAGGTGCTGGAGTCGCTGGCTCCGAAGGTGCTCGTACTGGAGGTACTGGAGCTGCTGGGGCTGGGGGTGCTGCGTCTGGAGGTGCTGCTGCTGGAGACACTGAGACTGGAGACCCTGGGACTGGAGGTGCTGGTTCTGGGGGTGCTGCTGCTGGAGACACTGAGGTTGGAGACCCTGGGACTGGAGGTGTCGGTTCTGGGACTGGAGCTTCTAAAGCTGCTGGAGGTGCTGGAGCTGCTGGAGGTACTGGAGCTGCTGGAGCTGCCGGTACTGGTACAGCTGCGCCGACACGCCTGTTCTTCGCTCCGCCGTCTCCATCGTCTCTGCCGCCGTCTGACTCTGTTCTTCGTCAGGTTCTTATTCTCCCGTCGTCTACTGGTCTTCCGTTACAGCCTGGCTCACCGCTACCTGCTCCTTCTCCCTACACTGAGCAGACTGGTAGTCCTGCTGAGCGTCGTGAGCCTCCGTCACGTCCTGTCTCGCCTGTTCGTCCTAGTCGTACCGGTCGTTGTGTTCCTCGGTCGCGTCAGCCGGCTGTCCCCTGCGCACACCTCATAGTCCGTCGTCCTTCCTCTGCTCCGCAGCCTGTTCCTCTGCCGTCTCCTCCTGCGCCCTCTTTGCCTGACGTTCCGGACCTGCGTCTGACCGGTTTCATGCTGAGCACCCTACTGTCACGCGTCTGCTAGACACTGTTGTCACTGACCCGTCGTTTGAGTCTACTGCTGTGTCTGCTCTTGTCGCTGAGCTTGTTAACTTTGCTGCTGCCTGTCGTCTAGACATCGCTGCCAGTCTTGTTGCTGAGTCTGAGTCCGTCTGTCCTCCGTCCGTCGAGGGTGATTGTGCTCTTAGCACGGACGTCCTTGAGAAAAGGCACGAGGACCTTGAGTGTCTTGCAGCCGCTGTGCCTCATCTCATGGCCATGCTGCTTGCCCCTGAGGGAGACCCAGATGCACCAGACATCCCGACCCCGCGCTCTTACGCTGAGGCGATCGCGGGTGAGTACTCCTCTCAGTGGCAGACAGCCATGGACGCAGAGATGGCATCCTGGAAGTCCACAGGCACTTACGTCGATAAGGTTCCCCCTCCTGGGGCGAACATCGTCGATGGCATGTGGATTTTCAGGGTGAAGCGGCCGCCGGGTTCTCCGCCTGTCTTCAAGGCTCGTTACGTTGCTAGAGGCTTCAGTCAGCGAGAGGGAGTTGACTTCTTCCAGACCTTCTCCCCACCCCGAAGATGACTACTCTTCGGGTGCTGCTGCACGTTGCCGCTCAGCGTGACTACGAGCTTCACTCTCTTGTCTTCAGCACAACTTTTTTACAGGGCAGCCTGCACGAGGAGATCTGGCTGCGCCGCCCACCTGGCTTCACTGGGTCGTTCCCTCCTGGTACCCAGTGGAGCCTCTGGCGACTAGTCTACGGTCTCCGCTAGGCACCACGTGAGTGGCACGACACACTGAGGACGACACTGGCGGCTCTTGGGTTTGCTCCTTCGACAGCTGACCCGTCGCTGTTCCTGCGCACCGACACTTCGCTGCCACCGTTCTACATCCTCGTGTACGTTGAAGACTTGGTCTTTGCCACTGCTGACACTGAGGCTCTCGCCCACGTGAAGTCGGAGCTGCAGAAGAGACACACGTGCACAGACCTGGGTGTGCTGCGCAGTTACCTTGGCTTGCAGATCACCCGGGACAGAGCACGCCGCACCATCACACTGACTCAGTCACACATGGTGCAGCAGGTACTTCAGCGCTTCGGCTTCACCTGGTCCTCGCCACAGCACACTCCTCTGGCTACAGGTCACTCGCTCTCAGCTCCACCTTCGGACGAGTCCGTAGAGCCGAGTGGGCCTTACCCAGAGCTAGTGGGCTGCCTCATGTACCTGATGACCTGCACTCGTTTTGACCTTGCGTACCCTCTTGGCCTTCTCGCTCGCTACGTGGCTCCTGGTAGGCACCGACCAGAGCACATGGCTGCTGCTAAGAGGGTACTGCGCTACTTGTGCAGTACATCGGGCATGGGGCTCGTGCTTGGAGGACGGAGTGAGGTGGTCCTCACGGGGCACTCAGACGCGTCTTGGGTTGACGACCAGACTACACAGCGGTCGTCACAGGGTTACACCTTCAGCCTTGGCTCTGGCTCAGTTTCTTGGCGGTCTATACGCTCGTCTTCTGTTCTCAGCTCCAGTTGTGAGGCTGAGATCTACGCCACCGCCATGGCTGCGCAGGAGCTACGCTGGCTCACCTACCTGCTGACTGACTTGGGTGAGCGGCCTCGTTCTCCTCGAGTGCTGTACGTTGACAACAAGGCGGCCATTGCCTTGTGTGAGGAGCACAGAGTGGAGCACAGAACGAAGCACATTGCTCTGCGTTACTTCCTAGCTCGAGAGTTGCAGCAGCGAGGTCAGCTTCGTCTTCGCCACGTGGCCACTCGGGCCAACACTGCTGATATATTCACCAAGGCACTTCCGTCTGGTAATCATCAGCGCTGTTGTACTCTGTTGGGCCTTGTGCCTACGTTTCCACACTTGCTGTAGTCTCTGCTTGTACTGTGATCTATATATATACCTGCATGCTGGCTCTTGCTAGGTAGCCATCACTGTACTGTTATTGCTGCATATATATCTCTGCATGTGAACTGGCCTTGTGGCCCTTTGCTTGTGCTCGGAATGTGTGGTGACGTTGTGATCCACCCTGAGCTTGTTTTGCTTCTCTTGACTGGTCGTGTGACCCCTTGTTCTCCCCCACTTTGCCTATGGGGGTGTGTCAAACTATATGTGCTGCATATTGTCTAGGATGTAGTGGGGTACAACCCAATTAGGGTTTACTACTTGTACTCCTACATCCTGCTATTCCTGTTGCTAGATTCTAACAACATTGTATGTCATCATTGCACCGTCGGATCGTTGCGCCGTTGCGTTGTTGCCTCGTTGCGTCGTTACCTCGCTGCGCCGCTCAATCATTACGCCGCTCGATCGTTGCGCCATTGCGTTGTAGCGATTTAACATATCCATAAGCCAGCTAAATCTACTAGGTTATCAATTAATTTCTTTTCCTCTTTAGATTAGCGTCTCTTAGTATTATTTTGTTTTTCTTTGATCGGATTGAACAATCTATTTGTAGAATAATTGGTTTCAATCAGTTTAAAACGGATTGTTAAGGGAATTTATTTGAAATTACTTATACATCTTAACGGTTCAAATTCTCACGATGTCAATCACGATGCCCACGATGCTAGTCACGATGCTCGCTAGTCACGATAATCGCTTGTCACGATGCTCGCTAGTCACGATGCTCGCCGGTCACGATGCTCGCTAGTCACGATGCTCGCCGGTCACGATGCTCGCAAATCACGATGCTTGCTGGTCACGATGCTCGCTGGTCACGATGCTCGCTGGTCACGATGCTCGCTAGTCACGATGCTCGCTGGTCACGATGCTCGCTAGTCACGATGCTCGGTATTCACGATGCTCGCTAGTCACGATGCTCGCTGGTCACGATGCTCGCTAGTCATGATGCTCGCTAGTCAAGATATTATAATGTTCCAATATTATTACAATGTGCCACATATACTAGCTAGTCTAAAATGGAACATACATTATAATATGTAGTATTTCTAGTAAATGCAGATCCGCCATTGAGTCATTACGCTGCTGCGATTTATTACATCGTATGTCATCATTGCACCGTCGGATCGTTGCGCCGTTGCGTCGTTGCGTCGCTGCGCCGCTCGATCGTTACGCCATTGCGTTGTAGCGATTTAACATATCCATAAGCTAGCTAAATCTGCTAGGTTATCAATTAATTTTTTTCCTCTTTAGATTAGCTTCTCTTGGTATTGTTACAAATAGTAATATTTGATATTACTGTGCACTCCTCACCGTAGCAAAAGGAAGCAGGCAATATTGGGAACGAACGCGAAGCGTTAGACAGCTGGAAACGAACGCGAAGAGTCAGACGGTTACAGCACATCTAGACCGTCGGAAGCAGACGGCATTGCACAGCTGCAGGCAGGATGGATTTGGCGGGAACAGTTACGAAACTGTACGCGCCGCACGGTTGGGGATGTATTTGAATAAGGGAATGTACCCCTTAGGGTACATGGCTAGTTAGGTCTTTTCGTATTCCCTTGTACTCTTATTTATATCATCTTGTTTGCATGTTTTATTATCTCAAGCATTTACATTCACTCAGCTATTGAGGTCAAGGGCCCACCAACATTGCGTGCGAACCTTCCTGAGTAGATCCTGGGCTACGATCAACTTCTGATCGCAGCATGGTATGAGAGCAGCTCGGGAATCCTTCGCACTGCCAGTCCCGAAAATTGCGACATTCGGAAAGTGGCGTCCGGCACACGCTCACGAGTGAAGATGGCCGGAGGATCTGGTGATCAGACTAATCTGACGGCTGAAGCGCAACCCAACCCGGCTGCGACAAGCGAGAACACGACGACGATCGGTTCCGAAGTTCTCGCACAACTTCTTCAGCGACTCACCAGCTTGGAGCAAGGACTCCAAACATTGCGGAATGGCGATGCGGGAACATCCTCGCAACCCTCTCAACCGGCCCCGACTGGCCAGAACGCCACCCCGCAAACATTCTCCCTCGACACCAATGGCTCAACCCCCAAGACTCCCCGTCCCAGCGAAGAGGCAATTCTCTCCGCTCAATCAAGGTTTCTCAGCATATCAAAAATAAAGACAAGTACCTGTTTTGACGGCAGAGACTTTTATACCTGGAGCTTCGAGTTGGAGCTCCTGTTGCAGAACGCCCGAATCTTCCACTATTTTGACGGGAGCTACGCGGAGCCCGATGAGGACACCGACGACGCCAAGGCAAGGTACTACGACGAATCGTTGATGGCGTACGGGGTGCTCCTGCGGAACATGTCGCCGGCGGAGCAGCTCAACATTCGTTCCTACAAGACCTCGGCTGCTCCAGCCCTTAACGCCTGGCGACACCTGACAGGTGTCTATCAGCCCAAGGACTCTGTCTCTTCGAGCCGACTACTCCAGGAACTCCTGGAAACCAAGATGACCGCAGGGAAGAAGGTCAACAACTATCTCAATCGCTGTCGGAGCCTTCGCGATCAAATCGTGAAGCTGGGAAGCACGATTTCAGAGGAAATCTTCGTCAACATCGTGCTTCAAGGGCTCGGCCCAGAGTGGCGGCCCTGCAAGGCGCTTCTCCGACAGCAGGGGGTCATCTCGGAGGCCGCCCTTTGCGCCGCCCTTCTCGTCGAACAGAGGGATATGGATCAGCAGCGACCAGCGCCGCGACAGGAACGCGAACGGCTCGCCTTCTACGCCGACAACACTGAAGAGCGAAATATCTGCAGAAATTTCGGGCATCTGGCGGATCGATGCAAGAACCGATCCCGCCCTCGCCAGACCAATCCGAGGACCTGGCCCGGCCGTCAAGACGCATGAGGCGACGTGCGTCCAGCCCAGGGGTATCAGCCCCCTTCCGCGCGCAATCTGAACCCAGCGGTTCAGCATCAGCAGCAGCAGTTGTCATCGACTGCCCCAGTTCGCAATGTCATGAGCAACATGGCCATTACAGGCGAGTCGCGTCGTCGCCGTGTCCGCTCGCCTTCACCTGAGCCGGCACCGCACCCCATTGGCGCATTCACCAACAACAATCCGTTCTGTCCGCGCCACGATTTCACCGACGACGACGACCAAGACTGGAATCTTCCAGTCCCGCTGCTTGAAAGTCCCCCTGCACGTACCGGATATGCGGGTGGCGCCACTTGATTGGCTCTCGCGCGAGCAATTTTTGAAGTTCGACACTCCGCACATCGTCACGCCGCGACTGGCGCTGCTCGCCCGTGACGACAACAAGCGCTACAACACCTGGTACCTGGACAGCTGCTGCGGCCAGCATATGGTGGGCTCCGAGCGTTACATATCTAACACCGTCCCCACCCCTGCCGTCACTTACGTCACCGTGGCGAACAACACGCGCCTGCGCGCAAGCGCGTAAGGCATCGTCGTGCTCAAAGCACGCGGGAGCCGCACGCACATCACGCTCAACGATGTGCTGATCGTCCAGAACCTGTGCTTCAACCTCCTGTCCACCGCACAGCTGATGGATTGCGGCGTCGACCTCAGCACGGATCGCGCGACGAGAGATATCCTGCTGCACTATGAGGCGCGCAACTTCCTCCGCAGGCAGATCGGACGAGCACACTCCGAAAATGGAGTGTACGTCCTGGACGTTGACATCCCCGACTGCAGCGG